TGTCTAAACCGGCTTTTTCGGTATATGATATTTTTCTTTTGTCGAAGAAGAGGCAAACCAGCCACCAGTGCAGCAGGGATTGACACGTTACGTTTTTTTTTTTTTTTGTGCGAGGTGGAATGTGACTCATGTGCTCATATCATCCTCTCTCATATTGGGTGAAATGTACGCTGCCACGTGGCAGTGAAAGTTCCAGCAACTTTCTATTTCTTAGTATGTCAAGACGAGAGCCGTGGGAAGGAGAACTAGAACATTCATGTAGACTTCAAAAGCCTAAACTGGTAAAAGCTTTGATGGTAGTGTAGTGGGTCCGAGGTCGGTCTCAGCTTTCTACTGTTGTTGCCTACCATTTGCTAGGCAAGTAGGGAGGTCCTGACTTGAACATAGGCATTGCAGGCTGGTTTGGTGACGAGGCCGGGTATGCCAATATCATTCCTATTCTCGCTTCAGTCCCTACTACCATTTTTTATAAGAATTTTTGAGGAATTTCCGTCTCCGTCTCTATTTCCGTGGAGGGGCTACTTCCTAAATCCCAGATTTTTTTTTAATTAAAAATAAAATAAAATATTCGAGGTGGTAGAATGGAGGCCACCTTTACTCAAATCAGCTCAACTCGCTTAAATTGAGCCGAATTTTACTCAATTAGAGCCATATTAAAGATGGATAATAGAGAATTGAAACTCTAAAGATTGGAATTATGATGACAACGCTACTTTAGGAGAGTGGCTCGGTTGCATATTTCATGGATTAAATCGAACCCACTTCGGAGATTCCGTGTGTGTCCAAAGTTAGGGGTTAATTCAAGTGTTGATATCATGGTAATTCATGATAATGGCAACGACATTTTCATTAATGCAAAGGGGAAACAGTGGATGTCGGTAATCCCTACCTTGTATTTTAGTATCATTTTCTATTCCGACCTAAATGATATTAGTGGATGGAAAAACACGAGACCTCAAGTGATGCTCTCTAGTAACCAACTACTGTACGACAGCATTGCACGTGACCTCCTACATAATTCAACAAACCCAACAGCCAACAAGAATAAACTAAAGTATTTGTTTGACTGCTAACTCACAACACATTCTAGATATAATAATGAGACTAATTAATCTCAATGACCAAGTTAATCTGAAAAATCAAAGCTTGAAAAAGTATAGCACGGGAAAAATGATAAAGGTGTGGGTGAAGCAAACTTGCTTTTGTGCATCCACTTCAAAGTTTTATTTTATTTTCTAGCAAAAAATAAAAAGGTACAAACTACAAACGACACCCCAAACTAAAAAAGTGAGGGCCACATCCTCCACATCAGCATTTAACAAATTTATTAATGGTTTGGATAATGACAAAGGTAAACTGTAAGTTTTCCGCGAATTTGAGTATGTCATTATAATGTCCCTAAAAATATGCATGAACTTGAAAATGACCCCATTAAGGGTTCTTTTGTAATTTACCCAATAAAAAACGATCTCCGTTTTTGTTTTTTATTTAATTTTTTCCACATACACAAGCAATTAGTGGACTTGCATTGTTTTTGCTACAACTTGGCAGCTCACGAAAGGCCACGTGCTGACCAAAAACACACTAAAACCACACGTGCGTTGTTTTTCTTCACATAAAACACGAGCCCTATTTACTTAAATAAATTTTTTTAGCATGTCTATTTCTCACATAATCCATCATCCCTGCTATTTTATGACCCAAAAAAAAATTATAATTCACATGTTCTCTGTGCTACTAGAAATGCCAGTTTGAAATTGTATTGTTAGTACTTTCTTTTCGGAATCTGTTCTCATCTGGAGTGCAAATATTTATTACGGAAAAAAAAAACATTTTAGTATAGTATTATTAATAGTATTTCTTCATATGCTGAGAGAATCTCTTTATTTATGGTCAATTAGTTTTTAGGTTGAATGTCTATATTCTAACATGATAGGTGGTAGGTGCAGTGGTCCCATGCGCTCTTACATTGTATTTGTCCATAAATTATGCGTAAAAAGACTCTACACGTGAGGGGGAGTGTTGAGAATATCTCACATTGAGATGGAAGTCTAACATAAAGAGCATAAAAGATCTTGAGCCTCTCCACCAATTCTTTTTGGGTTAGATGGTCACGTTCATTCTAAGTATATAATTTGACCTAGTAAACTACTAAATTTGGCCTAAACAGCTCGTAAATCATAGCATGAAAGTGCGTTTAATTTGTGACGCGTCTTCTTTGAAACGTTATGTCGTGTACCCAAAAAGAAACTCAGTGTCCAAATATGCAAAACTGGACTTAGTGTTGAACGACATTTTGATCTCATCAAAAACTAGAAATGGTGATTAATTTGGTGGATCACATTTCGATCTCATCAACATAAAATTGGCTAAAAGGTAAGGAGGAAATGAATTTAAAACGTAGCATGTTTTTTTTCTTCTTGTTGGTGGTAGCCATGTAGGAGGAGCACACAAGAAAAGACTAAAGACTAGAAGAGTTGGGTGGATGGATATGAATCTCTCTCCACTATCTCTACTTTTCTCTTCATGAGTTGATTAGCTTCTTCCTTTTGATGCCAAGCCCATCACACCCTCTTCTTTTTTCCGCAAAATAATCAAAGGTTCCCATCCCAACTTTATATTATATACAAATCCATTATCATTTCATCCATGAAATCAATGTGATTCTCTACCATGCAATAAAGCCATGCGTTTTAGATCTTGATGATCACCATAAACCCTAATTTTTTTGGTCCTATATGCAAATATGGGCCCCACTTTAATCAAGTTGCCTAAGCCATGATGCAAGTGGTTTACCAGCTCTTATCGGATGATAGGTAAAGCAAATGAGCCTCAATCATACCAAAACCATGCTGATGATCTAATTTCTGATTGATTTTTTCCTTAATTGTGGGCCCTTAGCAGCTCAAATGCTTAGCTTGGATTGGCTAATGTTGTGTCAGGTCACCAACGTTACCTGATCTTTTCACATTGAATGGTACTTGTTCTAGAAATCACTTTCATCAAGAGATTTTCCACCAGATCTTTTAATGTCTCGGCCACCACTTTAAACCGTTTAATTGCTCATCGAGAATATATAGAAGACACTTTATTTATGGAAGTTTTAAGAGCAGAGTTTGTCTGAACAAATCTGTGCGAAAAATTATTTATGGCATGTTCGTCAATTCTTGTTTTAGGTGTGCAATTGTGTTTTTAGAAAGGATGCAAACGCAGAAACTACGGTCTATGATCAAGTTTTCTTCTTCAATTACTAGAATAACCTATTTAAGTGACATAATTCATCCGTGTTATGTGGTCTGTTCACGTGTTATTACATAAATGAACGATATGATTGCTATTTCCCACATTTAAGGGAGACAAGTCTTAATATGCAGACGTAGTCCATCACCACATTATAATTACTCTTATTTGTGATCGCAATAACAAGGGATACATTCTAATAAACCCTAATAGCTAGGATGAAGATAAGGAAATAGTCCAAAATATGCCGTATAAAAGTGAAAAGGATAAGGATGCTCCATTTTGGCATCTGATATTCCAATCCCAAAGAGAGCATATAATATAAAATAATGCTCCAAGCAACTGAATATCTACAATCAATATCTTGTTTAAATTTCTCCCCCATCCAAAAGAAAAAAAGAAAAAAAAAACTATAAAAATGGAAAGTTGGAGTTTGAACGGAATTAAAATCAAATGGATTTGCAGATAATCCATGGGCCAAGCAGCAGGTGTGGGTGGAATTGGGGTGGGCCCATTAAAATCAACAAACAGAAGAAGAACAAAGAGGATAAGAAGTTTGCTAGCTAGTTGCTTGCTGCTACAGCATGACGTTAAGCGACTCTTGGATATGTCAAAGCAGTTTAAATGTGTGATGCAACCCATCTTCAACCCCACACACCCTTGTTTTATGGGGTCACATTCCAGTCTGAAAGAAACTGTCGCTCATGGAGCACAAGTTGGAGGGGTCACATTCCTTTACATTGATTTAATAATAGTCTGAAAGCTTCATTTCATAGCACCTAATTTTCAGAGTAATACTTTGAGTGGGGACTCTTTGTCATGTAGCAAGTATTCCTCGAGTCGCAAATATTGATATTTTTTCTGGATTATAAACGATAGTCTAAACTATTGAGAAAGGGATTTCTCACGCATGCCCACACAATTATAATGTTGTGAAAATTTGAATCTAAGACCTCTGGTTTACAAGTGAAGACCTCTTCTCACTCGATTAGACATCGTTGACTGCAAATACTGATATTTTAAAACATAATATGTGGTACAAAACTTTCATTTGATTATGATTCTGTAACACATGTTATTACTCCGTCACGTGACATGGAAAAGTTTCTGTCCAAGTTTTTCTGCATTGGCAATACTTTTTAGTTAATGGGACTACGTACACACTCTATCCTTTACAATTTTTAATTATATTATGTCTCTTTCAAGTTTACAACAACTTGCATAACTTAGAAAGAAAAAACTTTTCTAAAGCACACCAATGCCCTAGTTGCTTTTTGGTAAATCTCTCAACTCCCCACCAGTACCATGCTGCTTTTTTCTTCTTCTTCTGAATACCATGGCCCTTTGTTAGGGAATAGTTAATTGATTTTTAAAAATTTTAATTTTAATTTTTAAAAAAATATATATATATTTTATAGTTTTCGGAGGTCATTGTCTTTGATTCAATTGAGAATATGATGGTGTTTGAAAGAAAGTAATTGGTTTGGACAACAAAGCTAAATTTGCTAAAGAAAACTAGAAAACATTCAATTTTATGTATTTGAAATAACTAGATTTGATTTTATGTTTTTTTCCGAAGAGATTTGATTTTAAGTACTTGAAAAAACTATATGCAATGAGTCATTTAAAATCCATTTGTTTTCTTCGTTCCCCGTCTTATTTAAATCTTTGCACACATGTATTGTTGTAGTCTCAATAAACCGTTTTAACCATAAATCCTAGATTTGAAATCACTCCATCCAAATAGACTCGGGTTTATTGAATTTGGACTTGACACTATTTGATTGAATATATTTGAAATAATTAGATGTACTACACTTGAAATGACCATATGCAATGAGTCATTTGGAACACATTGTTGTCCGAACTACAAAATTACAATTAAAGAATACATTTTCCTAGTTAGAAGTACATATAAAAATTCCCAACAGTTTGCTAATGATAGGCTCCAAATGATAATGGTATGATAGATACTAGCTGGTGATGTTTAAACTTTTTCTACACTCTTGCACAAATGCTGAAAAGTTTAGCCCACTCTATCACTACATCTATTTCTTCGAGTATGAGGCTTTTCCTTTGAGCTTCAATAAATAATGGAGTATTTAATCCAAATAGAAAGGACGGTTCTAATGACACGCTGCAATTCAGAGACAACAGAAAAATATAGACCATTAACAAAAGCATGAACGTACACCTTTGGGCCAAATGAAAGACATGCCTTGCAAATCAGCAAGGTCGAAACTCAAAGTAGAAACAAAACAGAACAGGGATACTCAAAACCAAACTTAAGAGCTCCATTGTAAGAACCCGGATCTAGGTTTACGTGCTATATCGCTAATATCGGAGATAAACACCTAAGTACAGCAGATGATGCATGGTTATTAGATTGATATATGGAATGGATGTTGAGTGTAAGAGGGTCTGAGTTGGTATTGTGAGATGAGATGTGACTTCTAATAATAAACCATCAAGTTTGTATATCAGACCAGAATGTTTTGAGTTTTCTATCTGAAGGAGCCACGAAATAAAGACAGACAGAAAAAGGGAGAAGCCAGATCCTGCTGCCACTGTTTTGCCATTTTGTTTTCTAATAACTAGGCCATGTTTGATAGGGTGGATTAGATTGGACTAGTAAAATGCTTAGATTTCATGTGCAATCAAGGAAGAATGTGGGTGTTGTCTTGTAACTTGGAGGATTAAGGTGAACTATTCATATGAGATTGATTGATGTCTAAAACTTATCCCCACTAATCCCCTTGAAGTGGGATTAGTAGGGACAAGTTTTAGGCATGAACCTCTTATGAATAGTCCATCATAATCCTCCAAGTTAGAAAACAACACCCATACTATTCCTTGATTGCACATGAAATCTAAGCATTTTACTAGTCATGCTAGTCCAATCTAATCTTCCCTATCAAACATGGTAGGGTTTTCTTTCGTTTGACTCTAATCAAATGAAAGGTTCCCTTTGGATCAAACAGTTAATATAAGGGGTAAATTTGATAAACACGGTGCAACCTAAATATGTCTTCTCAGAATCCTTCAAAATGGAGGACATAAGCCCAACAATCATACCTAACCAATTAAAAGACAAATAAACAGAAAGTCTTAAAGGGAAGAGCATATATACCTTTTCAGGTGAGAACCCAAAGATAAGTTGTTTGTGGGTTTCTAAACTCTAGGCCCGTCAAACTAATTCACTGTAAAACTCAGCAAACAGATTTATCTGTAAGAAAAAAATCACTCAAGAAACCACTAATAACACCAATATGCATGTTGACCTGTAGCTCTTCTGATCTACAAAATTAGACAAACCCCCCGGTTGAGAAAATTGAATACCAACCAAATTTTCTTTCACATAAATGTGGACCTGTAGAAAGAAAAATACATGTAGCAACTTATTTGTTCTGAAAAATTGAACAGGAAAGAAGTTGAGCAAATTGAACAAAAGAGATAACCAGAATGAAAACACACACAGAAGAAAGACAATGAAAGAGTATTAGCACACAAAGTTAACCAATGGGCATTATAGAAACAAAATCTATATTATTAAGTTCATTTAACCTCAGGATAGAGAATTTAAACAAGCATTTTATCGTATTATTCATTCTGCACAATAGTGCCGGAAACACACCAATCAAACAGGAAGACCTTCCCCAAACCAATTTACCAAGCCAAGCACTTGGTAAAGGATAAAAATAAAAAAAAACAAAAAAAAAAACAGATTGTTTCAAACTTTACTTGGACACTTCTTAGGCCAACGCCAAAGTTTGGAAAGATAAAAGCTCTCATGCTTCCTTTTTCTTTTTCTAAACTTTTCAGTACGTAATCTATTATCCAAACTTTAAATACAATAACATTAGTTCATAATTCATAACCCTTTTCAAGAAAATCTACACATTAGTCAATATTTACATATAAAAGTCTCATCTCATAAGTTGTGAATATACCACAAACCTATCAAATTTAACTTTCCAATATATATGAGTTTGACTCTTTTTCCCTAAAAGATAAAGGGAAATTCTAACCAAAATAGGTTTTCCACTAATCTCACAAATTAACCAAATGTTGACTACTCCTCCCAGATGAAAAACCCAAATAGAGATAAGAACAAACACAAAGACATATTCATATACAAATTTTATCTTGCCAAATATTGGCATGCTATGTTTTCAGACTCAATCTTGAGTGTGAACTATACATTCAAACAAGAATCCACCTACTAAAAAGTCCAAACTGACAAGCTGATACCATGATATGCAGGATTGATTGGCAGGAGAACAATTGCACATTTATATAATACATATAGATATATTGATAGAAACCGTACCCTGTTAAGCCAACCTCTTGGAAAGGAACCACTAAAACACTTATCATACCCTGCTAAACAACACATTGCATTGGAAAGGCCTTTTGTTCACTGAAATAAATCAAAGAATCAGATCAAGAGTAAAGTAAGAGAGACAAAAATCCGATAAACGTTGTGTTCGGGGTTAAGGTTCCCCACTTCTGACCAATTTTGCATAATTTGGTTAAGAGTAGGGAAAAAAAAAAAAAAAAACAGATATTTTGAAAGGAAAAATCAATGGCAAAGAATTAAAGATTTGAGGTGCTGCAACCATGAATGTGAGAAGAGTCAACTGACGATGGTTGTGAGAGGTCTGTGGTGATAGGTGCTTGGTGGTAGACAAGAGAGGAGACGAAGTGGGGAATGGCTTCCTGGAGAGGGGAGCGGGCCGGGCGGCTGGAGCAGGCCAGGTGTCAGCAGAGGCGGGGCTGTAGGGAAGCACTGAGAAGGGAAACTGACCATTTTTTGATCGCTGAATTACATATCAGAATGGTGCTTGGAATTTTTTTTCAAAACACCATTTAAGAAGTTTGTAATAAAAATCACCAAAAAAAACTTGTTTTACCGTGCTCTAAACAAGAATGCTTTATTATAAATAAACTCTTGTTCTTACCCCTTAGTTGACAGTACTTGAATCTTGTTTCTGTACTCGTGCAGATGTCTTCAAAATGCAAGCACATCTGACATGACATCCTCAAAATACACACGTTATCCAATAGGACAATGGTGACCTGAAATTTGTGCAATGGACAGCATTGCAATCAAATAAGGAGGAGGGGGAGGGGCTGAAATGGTAATGGAATTATAGGGTCCACAATTCGCATGAGAAGTATTTTCACCTGAAATCAAGCCAAAAAGAAAAGGAAAAGGCAATGCTTCATTGCCTCAACTCTTTTTAGTTTCCTCTGTTTAAAGCTCAGAGTAGCCTTACCTACCAAAATTATAAATCCACCCAAAAAGGTAGGACTCATACAGGATCTGTTCAAAGAAGGATCAAAACTGGAAGGTAGGACTAGTAACTCACGTGCTCAAAGAAGCACCACAAATGCATAGACGTTACAAGGAATTCCTCTAGTCTGACTCACAATTAAAGATGTCCTACTGCTTGGTCCATTGCAGCTCCATGAGTCTTGCAGCCTTCAAGGAAACTACGCCATATAATGACATTTGGTGGGAAGGGCATGTTGGAAATCACTGTCTCTGCTTCCGTAACATGTCCACATTTAGCCAACAAGTCAACCATGCAATGGTAATGATCCATTTCTGGTTCAACACCATAATCCATTTTCATTTTCCCAAATAACTCCATTCCATCTCTCACTAACCCGCCATGCCTGCAAGCTGTAAGAACTGCAGTAAAAGCTACTCCATCAGGCTTAAAGCCCAAGAGTATCATTTCTCTGAATCGTTCTAATGACTCATGAACATAACCATTAAGTCCAAGTGCAGAAATTAGAGCTGTCCATGTGATTAAATTTTTTTCTTTTATTTCTTCAAAGATTTTCACTGAGCTGTCCACACTACCACATTTCCCATACATGTCAATTAAAACGTTGCATGCAAATGTGTCACAAGAACTGAAATCTATCTTAATGATATAACCGTGAAGAGAACTGCCCAAAGAAAAATTGCAAAGTTTTGCGCACACACTTAGAAGGCTGACAAAAGTATAATTGTCTGGCAGGACTTGAATCAAATGCATCTGTTTGTAAAGCTCAAATACCTCTTCGTAATAACCGCTGCGGGCACAAGCTGCAATCACAATGTTCCAGGATACAATGTCAAGTTTTTCACGTAGAGAAAGAAATTTTAGAGTTTCATTATATCTCCCAATTCTGTTATAAATTCCAGCAATGACATTAGACGGAAGTGCAGCAAGAAGACCATCAGAATCTGTGAGAAAGACCAGGACATGAGATATGAGACCATTTTTGGCATATGAGGTTATAAGAGAGCTCAACACATACTCGTGTTTCTGAAATCCCATTCTTACAATTAAGCAATGCAGCTGCTGGAGCTCTAATGCCAATGATGACTTAAGCGCAGCTGAAAATGAGAACTCGTTAGGTCGGTAACCTAAATGAAGCATTTCTTGCAGTAAGAGTATGGATGCAGGGGAATAATTATTAGAGTAACCCAAAATCAAAGCATTCCAGCAAACCACATTTTTCACATAGATCTCATTAAAACAGCGTTGGGCACTTTCCAAGTTATCACATTTAGCATAAAAATCAACCAATGCACTACCTACAAAATCATTAGATTCCAAACCATGCTGGATTATCTTAACATGAAAGGACTCTCCATAGAATGGAATCTCCAAATGCGTACAACAGTTTATAAGGCTAACAAATGTGGTCTCAGTAGGCAAAACTCCATCCATGGACATTTTAGTAAAGAATTCTAATGCTTTTTGAGGTCTATCAGTTTTTGCTACTGCACCAATCATAGTATTCCATGATACCACATCCAGAAAAGTCACCTCTTCAATAATTTTCTCAGCCAAGCATATGCCAGTGCACTTCATATACATACTTATAAGAGAGTTCAACACTGCAACTTCACACTTAAACCCATTTTTTATGACTAAAGCATGCAGTTGTTCCCCAAATTCAAAGTCTTGCTGGCATGACAATGCTGAAAAAACACCCACAAAAGAACCTTCAGACAAAGTACAACGCATCCTCACTAGTTCCCGAAATAAAAACACACAATTTTTAGCAAAACCGTGATTTCCAAGCAAATATATCAGTGAATTCCATGTTACCAAGCTCTTACAAGGCATATCCTCAAATGCCCAAACTGCTTCCTCTAACAACCCATGCCTTCCGTAAAATCCCAACAAACAAGTCCCCACAAAAGCATCTACATCAAACAGTCCATTCTTTATCACCAAAGAATGCAATTGAACCCCATGATAAACATCCAATGACCTACATGTCAAAAACCCACCAACTGCATACTGAGTTGGCTCAAACCCACAAACTCTCATCACAGAAAATATTTTCCAAGCTTCCCCTACATACCCACATCTACTATAAGCACTAATTATGATATTATATGACACAACGTTTCTATGAGGCATTTTATCAAACAAGTAATGAGCAACTGACAATTCCCCAAGTGACGAATATTGTGACATGATATTATTGTAGACAAAAGTGGGTTGGATTGGAGACGGACCCATTGTGATGTTGAGAGCATGGAGTTGTTTTGTTGCTCTAAGGGAACAAACCCTTGAGCATGCGTGCAGAAGTTGCAGAAGACGTTTGTGTTGTTTGAGGAAATCTCCATGGAAGCTTATGCTGTCGGTAACAACCAGAGACAGAGCCAGGATTGCAAAATTTGGGTGGGCTGAACCTCCAAACTCAAATTATTCTTTCCGTAAAAAAAAAAAATTTGTCAAAATTTCACTAGAGTCTGCTTTGTTCCTTTGACTCCCAAATTTATAGAACCTGTTGAAAAGATACAAATGAACTAGGAAACATAAAGTATAGGCACTTCCAAGATACAAACTGAACCACAAACCCAACTATGGTAATCCTCTAAGCGTGACATATTAGATTATCCAAATACTTACTGAGACAACAATTTGAACTACTTTGCAAAATTTTAATACCCTGATATTAAATATATATTCCATTATCGATATTTCATTTTACATCGGTTACTCGTGTAACATTTTTCAATGAATTTTTTGTGAGGTAACCTAGATGTAAAACTGCAGGTTCCAATGGAAGCAGTTATAGAACACTTCTGTTGTTGTTCAAACAATTATCAACCAACCTTAAAGAATAGTTTGTTCAACACTAAGAAAGGGAAATAATCCCTTAAAACAAAGCAAAACAGATTCCAGGGAGGGCAGTTAGTTTCAAACAAGAAATTTATAAAAAATAATAATAAAATACAGAATACCTTTCTTTGTTCTTGAATAGAAACTTGTTGCAGCACTTAACTGAGATTAAAAAAAGGGTTCAAAATCAGAAAAACCATAAATAACAAATTTCACCCACAATATCAAAGCCAAATCACCAACCAAACTCGAGACTCAGTCATAAATTGAACCATAAACAACAAATTTCATGCTCAAAATCGAAAGGAATATATTAATTGGGAAAAAACCCAGATAACCAGACCATATTCGTATATCACCAACCAAGATGAACAGAAATAAAAAACTGAAAAATAAATTTTACTTGAGAGGAGAGCAGATCGTAGTGGTGTTTTGGTAATGGAAAGAGGGAAAGGAGTTGAAAGAAATTTACTTTAAGGCTGGGAGTTTAAGATTAGGGTTTAGACAGAAGAAAAAGAGAGGGAGGAAAGCAGATATATATGATACCCGAAATCAACAAACCCACTAGAAATCAGATGTAATCTCAACCGCTTGCTCAGAAATCTTCAAACCCAGATTCAAACTTAGAACCCAAAATCGAAAACCACAACCCAGATGTTGAAAAGAAAAGAGAGAAAAAATAACCATAGCCATCGATACCCATACCTGATTGCTATAGGAATCTCGCAAGCTGAGCTCCCGATGGTGAAAGGTGCGCTCTTCTCCTTCTGTCGTTTTTTTTGCGTGCGTGCGTGCCTTTCCTCTTCTCGGTCGATGTATTTGCGGAAGATGCGTGAAAAGTGAGGAGAACGAGGCTGAAAAGAAGAGAGGAGAAATGAGAGGAGGAGTTTAGGAGTGCATTCAATTAAGATTTTAATACATTGTAATTACAATATTATAATGTTTGGACGAGCGAAATAAACTTGAGATTTTGACAAAACTCAGAATTTCTGAATTGACATAAACCAATTTCAGTGTTTGGATAAAAAAATAATAGAACTTTAGAAATTTTGCGTGGAAAAAAAAAAAGAAATTTAGAGATCATAAATCTCAAGTTTAAATTCTATCTAAAAGTCGTCATTTCTAAAATCACAAGAGAGATTGAGTTAAAAAAAAAATAACTTTATAAATAAAAGTTAAATTTCGTGTTTTAAATTAGTCACCAAAACAAGAAATTTTACAAATTCTAGAACATTAATTTCCGTCATTTTAAATTCCGTCATTTATAAAATCCTTTGTACTTTTAAATTTCCTTATTCAAACGCACTGTTATATTTCAATAGCATTGGTATTTTATGTTACTGATGCTAAAACTTTATAATAGACATTAACTGACGCTATATATACTATGAAAGGCATCAGGAGTTTGAAGTGGCGAAGTCTTTAGTACCTAATACAATTTTTTTTTTCTTTCCATCTAATGCCTAATAACATAATGGCATCATTTTTATATTTTTCCGATTCCTATGTAGCGTAGTTTATTAAGAAATTTGTAATAGTGCACCCATTTCCCTAACTGAATGTTTTTATTTTCTCGCAAGGTTTTTGAAGGTTGCTTGGTGATCTTGACTTTCTGTATCACTCATGTTGACTCTCGGTGTATACCAAGCTTATCTGCCCAATAAAAATAGAACACGTGGACCTTGCGTACCACTAGGCGAAAAATGACCAAACCAGCCTCCACCTCGGCCTCGGAGCTACCTTGGGGAAATTTGAAAGGATACGAATTAGCCAAGTCAACGACAAGAACTACCTTGACAAGAAGTATGCTGCACTTCAGAAAGAGTAACTATGTCCTCTCAAAAGCCACGTGTGAACCACCTAACACACCCTTGACCAGATGGGACTACCGCCGCGCGACAAGCTACTTTGTTCGAACCCGCCCCCTAGTAAAGACGCGTGAAGTCATCATGAGAAGGGGACGTGGATGAACCCCGATTGTCCACCACTTGACAACTTGGTGTGACACAAATGGCTCGGTTCCTAGCCAAGGTGACCGGCTCGTAAATTATCTTGTTTAGACCCCTATAAATAGAATCCACAATGCTTGTAAGAGGGGATCCTTTTTGGAGTCTAGAAAGAATAATAATATGCTGGCAATCCGCGAAGAGAGTTTTTTTTGTCCTTTATCCTTTTGTACTTCATATGTTAGCCACTGGGAATTTGTGGACTAAACATTTGGCGCCGTATGTGGGAAACCACACTCAAAGGTTACGTGTAAGCTACTTCATTACCAATATGTTGGGTTGAAAGATGAATGAGATCTCTACCCTTGGCACCCAAAATCAGAAAAGCACGAAACGCCGAAAAGCGGAAAAACAAAGGATAAGCGCCCTTGAAGCCAAAGTGGAATTACTCCTTAATGGGGCTGACGCCATGCATGATCTAAACAAAACTCTTCAGGACCATAACGAACAACAGCAGCAGATCGACCTCCAAGCAAACCTACGAAGAGCCCAAAAGAAGGCCATCAAGGATTTGAGCAGTACCAGATTGGTGAAAAGATGCCTGTTTGGCTGGGAATCGACATCCGTTTCCATGTCCCAACCTAGCAACGCCGCCCCCTGCTTCAACCTCGAGAGTACCGATTCTAAGGAAATCGTCTTCCCTAGTCAAGGCTCAAGCAAAAGAAAGGATCACGCCACCGAGACCGACGACCAAACGTCCGATTAACCCCATCATTCCCGCCTAGGAGCTCGACCTAAGAGCGATAATGAAGGCTACGATCAAATGTGAGATGAGGAGCTTATAGGATAGGCTTGGCAAGGTCGAAAGAACCTATTTGTCCCTTCATTTTCTGAGGACGAAATCCCTTTCCTTTATACCAATGAACTCCTCGAGGTGACTGTCGTCGGGGACACGAGGTCCCCGAAAATTGCCCTATACGAAAGACTCACATACCTGTATGACTGCCTCAATAGTTTTCGCTACTCCATGGAGGGACAGGGGGGAGGGGAACGAGGTCACCAAGTGTAGACTTTCCTGACCACCTTGAAAGAAACAGCCCTGAACTAGTTCAAACGACTAAATCCTGAATCCATCGGCTCATTCGCCGAGCTATGCCAGGTGTTCCTGGGCAGGTACATGATCATATCAAGCAGATTATACCACATCAATGATCTCTCTGCTGTACGATAGAGAACGGATGAATCTCTACTCGATTATGTCACCCGCTTCAACAACGAATATGCTCATTGCAAGGGTTGTGATGAGGAAATGGCCTATAACGCCCTCATGGGAGGCTTATAGAGTAGGGACATTTTTTTTCACCTTACTAGAAATCCCCCTGAAACGTACAAAGACCTCCTCCAAGAGGCCACATGCTACAGTCGGGCTGAGCAACTAAACATGGCCTACACCAGCATCTCGAGCACGCAAATTGCAGGCGTGAAACCCTATTGGCATATTCTAGACGCAGAGGGAATCCCAAAAAGGAGCACTGACCGAAGAAAACACCGATAGTAGAAAACATTGACCAATGAAACAATGTCTCGGAGCACTACTCAAATTACATTCCCTTGAATGCCAGTAAAGGGGCAAGAAAAGAATTACCTACTCCGCGCCATGGTCAGAATGAATACTTGGGGAAAAGAGATGAGGCTCGGTACTGCAAGTACAACCACACGTATGGACACTAGACGAAAGATTGTTACCAACAGAAGAAAGAGATCGAGGCACTGGTTAGGAGGGGAAAACTCCAAGAGTATGTGGCCTACCTGCCACAGACCCTTCTAGGGGATCAACCCAAGCCTCGGTCTCTCAAAAACTAATAGCCACAATCAAATAAGGTCCATTGTTAGGCGGCAACACCAATAATTCCAGGAAACGGTACGCTCGGTCGGACTACCAGGCAGCTAGCCACGCCCTCTCCATCGGTGATATTGCCCAACCTGACAAACGAGCTTGGATGAGCGACGAGGAACCTATCATTTTTAGCCCAGATAACGGGCATACCTCGCAACCTCATAATGATGCTCTAGTTATCTCAGTTGGTATTGAGAATTGCGACATAAATTGGGTCCTCATTGACGGAGGGAGTTCCTCCAATATCATATTCACACCTGTGTTTATTTGGGCCAAAATATGGCTCACCCAGCCCAACACTAAAGAGCCCAGAATAACAAAAGCCACAAGACCCACATCCAGACTTTGCAAATAGGAATCAAAGACCCAAAATCCAAGAGGACTCAGCCCAGAATCTATCAAAACATAACAAAACTTGGGCCTCGGAAAAAACAGAAAGAGAGAAATTAGCCCATAAACTTCGAAAATTTAGACTGGGACCGGCAAGATTAAAAGCCCAAAACCAAATCGAGGGGCCCATGATTTTTACAAAACGATAAATCAAGCACTGAAGCTGGTCAAAAAGAAAAGTAAAAAAAATCCTTTTGGAAAGCCTATTTTCAGGAATCACGTGGCTACCTGACTTAGAAGTCAACAATTCCAACTATCATAGAAGAAGTGATTGGGAATTAAATGAAAGCAGATAATTAAGCAAAAAGACTTCTCTGAATCTCTGCCATCAGAAGATCAAATCCCTTATATATATATATATTTAGAAATAATATTTCTACTCTGGAGAAGGCACCATCTTTTCAAGAGATAAGCAGACTATGTTCTCAAAAAAAGATAGGCAGGAAGACAGAGAGTTGTTCAAAATAAAAGAAATCAAACTAACCATCACAGTTTGAGCTCTCACGAGGGGTAGTTGGAATTAAAGAAAGGGTCAAGTTCTCTTTCAAAAATACAAGGAAGTGACTATCGTAGGAACTGACTGTTGAGAGCTTATCTGCCAGAATTGATAAAACCCCTCTTTCTTTGCATTTAAAAAATGAAAGATCTTTTGAGAATTTTTCCGACCATTATTAAAATAAAGAAACCCTACTCCTAAGCATTTCTTATAAATATAAAAGGGAGTGAACAGGGCGAAGGGACCAATGGATCAATCAAACAAACAACCAAAAATCAACCAAAAGCTCACTTGAGCCACAAGAGAAACCAGCTTTAGATCAGAACTCCCAAAGTTCAGACTTAGAGAAATAAGTCATTCAAAACAAGATTTCTCTTGTTATAAATTTGGTTCAGCAAAAGTCAAGACAAGCAGAGTTTAAGTTTTCACAAATATGAAAACCTCAACAAATTTTACAGTGCAGTTCTAGCTCATTAAGTCCTCGAGCCCTTTAGACTGAAGAAGTTGCAGTTATGCCCGCTCAAAAGCTTCCCAAAGCTTGAAGTAGATTAAAGCTCTGCTAGAATTGAACTTTGGTATCGATTTACAGCTGAAACTGAGCAGTTGAAGTTGGGAACAGTCCAGCCTAGCACATATACACCCAGTCCAGCCCGGATCAGAAGCTTCTATCCAGGCAAAGACGGAATTCCAGCCTTCTTTTTGTCTTTTTAGAATTGATTTTTTCCTTCCAAGTCTTATAAAGGGCAGTTCTGCCTAAAAACAGTCCTCTTTATTATCATTTATTTTGGCAAGAACAACCAACCTTGTACTGTGATAAATTGTGAAGTTCTCACCACCCTGAGGCAAGAAAAGAACTTATTTGGGAGATATTCCTCACCCAAATTCACAATCACTTGTTTAGAAATCAGTAACTTGGGGCGCAAGTTATCTATTTTTAAGAAGTCTGCTAAGATTTTTATTGCTAGTAGTGGCACGCTTGCACACCAAAGAAAGCTGACTTGTTGACCAGTCAATGGTTTATAGGGCAGTGGGGAATTTTACCCTTCCATCATAGGAGTAAAAACAAAACGGGTGAACAGTGTTAAACCAGCACGGGATAAATCGGGTGCTCCTCCACAAAAAAAGGCCATCGCTTTATGCTTTCGAAGGAACTCAGGTGCAGCACCTATGCAATATCCACCTCGCTCTGACCA